GAAAGAAAGAAAGAAAGAAAGAAAGAAAGAAAGCCAGCCAGCCAGCCAGCCAGCCAGCTAGCTCTCTGTTTGCACTTAGAATCATATAGTCATAGACTTGGAAGAGGACATCTAGCCCAACCCTGCTCAAAGCAGGGTCTCTAATGCAAGACCATCCAGCCTCAGTTTGAAATCCTCCAGCAAAGAACAGCTCACACTTCATGAAGCAGCTTCTTCCATTGGCTGGCTAAACATTCCTTCTTATACTCCCTTTCTTGTAGTTTTAACCCTTGATTTGGTCATGCTCTCAGGATCAATGGATGTTGCTAAATCATGCTGTTAGCTATAAAGTTGTTAGCCACCCTAGATAAGGAAGCTTTGGGATGCGTGTTGAGGTTATTTAGAATCATAGTTTGAATTATCAACCTCTCCATTTGACAAGTGTGTGTTTCTTGCATGACCAGTCTCAAACAACAGATGGACATGCTTCAGCAAAGGAGCCCTGGTTTATTTGTTTTTTAAATCATGAGAAAGCAATTACTTGATTTGATTTGTTCTCTGTAGTCTTTTAAAATATGTAATGAGCAGAATTATTTAAACATATTCATGTAATTAGTGCAGTTCTAATCCTTTTTTTTTTAATTCAAAGTATCTGTTACTCAGTGCGCTTGCAACTGATTTTCATTATTTTAAGAGCTATTTCAACTGTGCTATAAAAATGCCAGTTCTGGATGAGAAATAAATAGCTCTGAGGCATTGTTTAGCTGTCATTCATTATTAATGGACTGTTGAAGGCACAGCTACTGTGTGCATGCCAGTGTCTATGTTTGCATTTTTCAATAAAACCTTAAAAATTCTTTGATCCAGACACAGGGATAAGATCTATATGAAATACCAGCCAGAATTCATAAAGACTATGTAACATTGAAACTCTTTGCTCATTAATGTAGCTGAAGCTATGCTATAAGAGCTTTAGGGCACAATGTGGAGTGTTTTTTATTTGTTTCCAACCATTTATTCTGATTATTTGAAACAAAGTTCCATATTAATTCAATTCATCAAATTAAAGATTCAGTTTGGATCTTGGCTGATTCATGCACTATTTTGCACTTTTGAGTCCTATAATACCAAAAAAAGTGGAAGAAGTTGAATACTAAGAAGACTTTCCTAATCTGGGTGTCCTCCAATCAGGTGGATTCCCAAGAATTCCCCAGCCTGCATGACCATTGTTAAGAATTCTGGAAGATGAAATCCACACATCAAGAAGCTGACATCCACAATGGGGAAGGCTGCCAAGATCACCCTCTTTTCCTTTCTCCCATCTAACTGAATGGATGGCAATTATTCTGAGAAAAATGAAGCAAATGAACAATTGGGAGACTGCAGTGAAGCCATGTTCATGTGCTGAATCCTATGGAATGAGTTGAAAACAATATATCTCTGTTCACAAGTGACAGGGCCAACTTCTTCAAACTCCCCACCCCCAACCCTTGCTAGAACAGTACTTGATTATCCCGCTAAGATGCTGCTAAACATCAATAGGCAGATACAGGTAGAGCAAATAAAATAGCCTAGGATTTAACAATATTGTTCTCCCCCACCCCCCTGTGACCTTTTCCCCACTTTTGACAACTATGAAATAAAAGCAGGCTTCTTGACTTTCCCTTGATTTATACTGATCTATCCCAAATCTCTTGAGAGAGACTGACAAACAAATGGAGGTAAAGTTAAATAAAGGCTAACAGAGGCATCAAAGGCATTTTCTGGAGCACAGTACATAATAAGGGCTACAATTAAGTGATTGTCTCTCCTTTTCAAAATATAAAGTGGCAGATGAGACAGAAAAATGATAAATAGGTAATTAATGTGCTGTTCTCTTTCACTCAGTTTTGATTATCCCTTCTGCTGGGCATAAGTCCTCTAGTTGCTTTTAATCTTCTTATTCATATTCCATTATCATGATTTCTCCTTTCCTGACTTCAGGATACAAAGACCTTTGCAGACTATCTGAAAATCATGTTTTGAACCTCTCAAGGGAAGGTAGCTTGATCAGACATGGTTGCCACGCCACTCAGCAGTCTTGTAAAATTGGCATGGAAAACACAGGCATGTCTTGGAACTAATAAGCTTGTTAGTTCAACCAAGTCATATAAAATTTTATCCAGGCCATTCACTATGACCATGAAAAATGGAATACCTGAACTTCAATATGCAGTCAACTTCTTCCACAATTTATGTTTTGAAAACATATATATATATATATATATATATAGAGAGAGAGAGAGAGAGAGAGAGAGAGAGAGAGAGAGAGAGAGAGAGAGAGAGATAATGGAGCAATAAAGAAAATAGAAAAAGAGGGTGTGTATGTGTGTGTGAGTTCTTATATACCCTACCTACTTCTCAAAGCTCTTTAATGCTCCATGAAGTCTCCAGTGTCAAAACAAGGCTGGTGGGAAGCACATTTACTTCCATTCCAGTTTATTTTCTATTTATTTAAACCATCCTATTTGTCCATATAAACCACCTTTCTA